ATACTGTTATGAAATTATTATCTGCCACTGAATTAACATGTTAAGCCTCTTCTCCAACAGTTATTACTGGCCACCATAAACTGCAATTACCCTTAAGTTAATACTTTAACACTACTAGCAGCTCTTTAACTCTCTAGGATTAACAAAACAATGCCGCAGCAGTGCTTTGTCCTGCTGAAGCTGCTAAGCTACCCAAATGCAAGAAACTATACCAGCAAAACCATGATTTTGCACATAACATTGTGTAAATACTAAGAGTCTGCTTTTGCACAGCACCTGACCAACATATGCCTGGCCAGCATATCTAAACTGGCAGAAGTCTGTTGTTTAGCTACAAGCATTAGGATTCCCATGTGGCTACAAAAAAAACTAAAAACTCAATAATGCCAAAATAAGTCTACGGCACAAAATTCTGCATCAGAATAAATATACATCTGCCTCCTGTGCAGCGACTCTAGTATTGACATGAATGTTCACGGACCGCCATGACAACAGTGAAATGAGAGAAAAAAACTATATTAGGAGGTTTCAGTATAGTGAGGTGTGGGTAGATGGCAATGTTCCTGGACTGACCCTTTTTTATCTTGCCAGTAACGTTTTAATTTTAACATTTTTGGACAAAAGTCTTTTATGAAAAAGCAGAACATTCTTTTCTTTTCTTTTTTTTTTTAAAAAAAGTTCTATATGCATAAATTATATTTAACTGCTCTATACTACATCTTTGTAACTCGTAACATGCAGACACTTTCATCCCATGTACACACACAGCCATTCCACGCAATAAACGTTCAGTCATGCAAAACTAACACCTGCCCTCTGCTGTCCAAGCTGCAAAAGAAGCTGGAAGGAGTTTTTCCCTTCTACAAAGCACATTAACTCTCACTAGAGCATTAGGATTTATGGGCAACTAGATCACCAACCTACTAATCACACCTAAAAGAGGGAGTAAGGAGAATGAAGAACTTGTATGTAAGTCCCTGCAAAGCCATGTTACTGCAGTGAGAAGTGTGGGCCATCAGAACATAAGACCACAACTTAATCCTGTTTCAGAAGGCAGCAATGTCTTGCTCACCTGTCTCATCTGTTCAGAAGCATATTGCACCCACCAGCAACCCTGCTTCAGTTGCTGCATCAGCTTTTCATGCTTTTGAAAGGAAACTGTCTATAAATGGTCACCTATAGGTAACCCATCTTCTTCAGCTTTGAGGAGGTCCTTTGCAGCAGAGGTGATGTTTACATCACTTAAGGAAAAGGATGAATGCATGAGCAGTGTAGGGAAGATCATATGGTTCATTCTTTTGTAATTTTTAATTATGTCCACAAAATTGTCTTGTAGCTATGAAGCAGCAAACAGATCAAAAGGATGACTAAGAAAAAAAAAAGAATTGAATTCTTCATAACAAAAACTTAAAATCTAATGCTTTTAATAAACATGTTCTACATATTATCAGGGATATTACCAGTACTGCAAAACTGCACAGATAACATCAAAGACATGGGCAATACAACCAACATGATTAGTAGCAGGAGTTGTTTTGCTATCAATATGTTGGAGTGAAAAGACTTTGCAGTATGCCACAGAGAAGTGTTTACATTTAGGAGAAACAATGATTTGCTAATCTAAGTTTGGAGCTTCAGACCATATACTCTGTTCTCTAAAATCCTGAGACTATTCATATGCCCTTGATCTATCTCACAAAATATGCCAACCTACCTTTCATCTCTGTCCTCATGCAGACTGGGATAAACCTGTCATAACTGCTTAAAAAAAATCACTTCACAGTACCTCAGCACATCATTGTACTTTGGTACACTTGTTTTTATTATGGTTATCTCAGTTATCATCTCTTATACTAACACTCAGAAATTGAAAATCTGAGCTTGCCGATTTGCCAAGTTCCACATACTAAAACAATTAGAACCAGTTCAGCTCACACATCAAAGGCTCCCTTCACCGTGACCATGATTACTATCATGAATTAGAATACAAAACTCAGGATTCCTCAGTATTTTGGCAGGTCTCAACAACTGGTCCAGCTGTTCAGTTGGACATTCATCTCAACAGCATTAAATATGACACCATGGAATTTGCAGTTAACCAACATGCTTGAAATAAGCTTACCCCTAATATGCACAGTTAATAATACCTAGAACAAAAGGTAAAAAGGAAGCACTGTTAATACCTACTCTAATCTTTCACACAGCACAGGGAACATGTCTTCTGAGAATTAATTCTTCACTGGACCACTGTTACTTTCAAGGAAAACACCTAGCATTTAATAGAAATTCAGAGGGACTGTCAAAATTCAGGGTAAATTGCTAGTGTAATCTAATTACCTCACCCAAATGTTTGCAAGCAAAAGCATAAAACAAAACCACCTCACATTACACTTTCAATTAGCATGAGGAGATGAGGTGGTTTTCTAGGTTCAAGGCTTAAAAATGTTAGTAGCTACCAGCACTGGGCATACTCCTACATTATGCAGCCTAATGTTATAGACAGATTTGTCCCCACCTGCCATGATTCATGCAGTCCAGTCAGGTAATACAGTAACATTATCCAACAGAGCAAGGGCATAATCCACAGGTAAAAGCATACACAAGTTTCTGGATCCTGATTATGGACCCCATGAGTAATGATATTCTGCTGTTACTTCTAATTTTGATGTAAAATTGTGGAAGCCCTCACTGAAAGAAGAATGAAAAGAATTCTGAGGCTGTGCAGGGCACTATTGCCAGGGAGAGTGATGGGCAAGGGAGGGAACATACTTAGCAAAAACAAGCTCTGGCAATGTACCCTAATTGTTGGCCCTTCTAGCACTGGTGTCTAAAATGCAGCCACATAACGAATATTTTTAGTAAACAAAATGCTCATATGAAAAATAATTTTACTGTTTCTTTGATAATATCCTTGCCCTCAGATAAAGTAGACAAAGTGTATATATATATATTTATATACACATACACACACATGCTTTCCCTGCCCTTCCTTTCATATGTAACCAAGACAAAGAAGCATTTTATTTCTAAGGCTCTTTTTCTCTTGATGTATATTGATATGCTGACTCCTACTATGCACACAATTTTTCTGTAATTTGAACACTTTATAAATACCAAGTAGCAAAATCAGCAGACAACTTACATAATTCTTTTTTTCTCTCATCACTATGCAATAATGCATGATGGGAAACGATGCACATATTTCAACTTGCTAACTAATGCTGCTTTCAACCTTACTTGACCATTCTCTCCTGAAACTGCATTTTTATTGGAGAATGCCAGTGTCAGTGTTCAAAGCATATCACATTCTTCAAAGACTACCTCTTGAAATTAGCAAGAATATTAGACCAATTTTAATTTCATTAAAGACAGCACTAGATTTAAAAATATGTAGTATTTAAGGATGCCAGGTTTCTTCTGTTAACGGGAGTCATACATTTCAAAATCAACATTTGATTCCACGAGACATTCAATTGTACTTGATATGGAGATTGGTTCTGGTGTTTGTAGGGTTAACCGATTGAGTCGTGACTACTTGTAACTGTCAAATTCTCTCCAAGGATAAATAATTAAAGCTTCAGGAAGAATAAGCACACAGGAAGTGGTGGAGATTGGATGTACGTAGGTGTTGAGGACATTCATTTTTATCCAGTCGTTGAATAAAAAACACATTATTCATGCAATCTTGTTCATTCACTGCTACGTGACCTGCACCACAATAGAAGACTGCAGCATCCAGTGCTGAACTGCATTCAAGGCAACGATGAGAGGACTCAAACAGTATCAGCATACCAGAGCAAAATGCTACACTGTAGGTGTATATGCAGGCTTTAGTTAATGCTGTAGCTCTTATGACTAATGCTGCAATGACACAAAAAAACTGTTTCTTGTAAAATGTCTTCCTTTGGGTACAATAAAAATAGCAAGTATTAGCCTTAAAGTGAAATGATTTCACTTTCTCTTCAGCTTAGGTCTCCCAAGTGTTGTTAATGATCACTTTCAGGTGAAAAAAACCCAACCCATACTAAATAAAATTATTCATTAACTTGCAAAGCAAAGCAAATGCAACACATTGTAGTATTTGGGGTGCAAAAATCTTGAAAAGAAATATTCCAATAAAGTGAACACTGAAAGGTGTAAAATCTACAGCAAAGCAACCTTAGCTGTGAAGAAAAAAAAAAAAAAGCCAAAAAAAAAACCAGAAAAACAACTCTTTTTTTTTTCTGTTTCTTCCTGGGGTATTTTAAAAGCACAAGAACAGCTCCCTGCTTTGAAATAGATTCCTTTGCCTTCACATTCCTATTTCTGTCCCATATTTACTCACTGCAAATTCTATCTTTGGCTTGATACCTCATATGCCTGTTAACTACTCTGTTAAGCAGTTGTTTGCTTGTTTGAGTATCTGTATAGCATATCCAAAAGGTTAAAACTCTAAAAAGGTTTAAAAAAAAAACTTTAAAAAAGGTTAAAACAAAAAACAAACAAGACCCTAAGGAAAAAATCAACCAATAACTGCTAAAAAGTCAGATATCTACAATCCCATATTAAGGTCCATGGTTACTGGAAAGCAAGGCACTTGCTGAAGTATTCATCTCATCTCCCACAACTACCTACTCACTCTGGCATTTTTAAATACCAGATCAGTTACATCATTCTTAGTAGCAGATGTTACAGCTTCATATCTTATATCCAAGCACAGGCTCAACTGATGAGGATTTTTACTTTCATTTATCATGAAATGCAATGATCCTGTAAAAAAGTCTTGAAAGCTGAAGAATCCCCTAACGACAAATCTGAGTGTTTCAAATGTTATCAGAATAAAAACTCATTTTATTTTGACATGAAAGACAAAAGTAATCCAAAAACACTGTCCACAGATTTAAAGCATGTAGGCATGAGAAAAAAATAGTTTCTTATCACAAAAAAATAAATAAATAAAAAAAAAACAACAAAAAACAGACAACTGAAAAAGAACCTAAGGAGATTTTAAAACTACAAACTTTGCTACTAAATATGCTTCCTTGGAGAATTAATGAAAAACAGTATCTGCAGAAAAAAATGGATGCACATGAGAAAAAGAATTAAGGTCCTCACAGATTAAAAGAGAATTACATAGAGGTTGTTAAAAAGAAGATGAAAGCAGAAGGAAGGAAAAGAAAAATTAGACTAGAAATGTACCTGAAGAATAAATTAGCAAAAGACTTTGCAGAAATTTGGAAATATATTAATGGTTGAAATAGGACAAGTTTAATTGAGAAATAATTGGCAAACTTAAAAATATCAAAATCCTCAAAGAAAATCAGGTTATTTTGCCTTGGACAGGGCAACTAGGTCTCTTAACAGAGACTTGAAGATATTATCAAAGATTATTTGGAGAAAAAAAAATAAAAAAATCATAGATAATATTTATTCTGAAAAAAAACCTGTTCCCTGCTTGCAAACTGCAACAAAGCATTAAACAATTTACTGGAAAAATTCACAAAACACAACAAAGTTATCTTACTGCTATACTAAACGGCGTGTGATAAAGCTCCCATAGAAGAGAATGGTCCCTTCAAAAACGCACTGCTATCAAATACAGAATTAGGAACCAGTATGAAAGTTTAGGTAACAGGTTACTCCTCCTCCACTTGCGTTAAAGGTAAGAAGAGCACTGGAGAGAATCTGAAATTGAAAAATACTGAAAAATTAAAAAGGCAAAGTCTCTCCTTTGTGCTCTTCATTGGTCACCCTTTTCACTGAAGTCCTAGTGTAAAAATGTATTGCTATAACAGGACAACATGAGATATAATTAATCTAAAGAATTATCCTGTGTCCCAGTGATGTAGTACTAATGGTTACCAGTGTTGTAAAACATTTGCCTTGTATTTTGAAAGAAATTAATCAAGATAGTGATAAACCACCTTAGAACAGTAAACATTATTTATGTTGGGATCCAAGATTATCTAGCTCCTTACGGTTACATTTGTGTGATATTAACAACTGTGTGACATTACTGAGGAGAAAATAGTTTTTCTAATGTTAATAAGGAATACAATATTAACATCTCAATACTGTTTCAAAATTGCAAAATGATTAACTGGAATGGAAGAGTAACACAATTCTGCATTTATAATGGGCAGGTCATAAAACACTAGTCATATCCATGATAGATTCGTTTCAGGGTTTAGCCCAGAAAAGGTTACTGACTTGAGAAAAGGGCACTGCTGACAGTGCTGGAAGCCAGACTTTTGACTGCATGTTTTATGAAAAAGAGGACATTCTCTCAATGTTACTGGCATAGAAGAAAAAAAGAAAATAAAGACTTTCCATTTTAAAAAAGCTGGCTACAACCAGGTAGCTTTCGTAATTCATGATTTGTGGTATTTGTGAAAAAACACTTCCTAGATAATAAGAGGTTGACCAACACGAGTCTTTTCAGAGCAACAAATGAAGGTGATGAATGAGATCTATTGCTTGGAAAGTTCAGATATGTCAATGAGAATTCAATGTGTTTAAAATAGCCACAGAAAGCCATCTCAAGTATAATTATAGCATCTCACCAGAAATGCAACATGACCATAAACAGCAGAACTGTTTTTATCCCACCCATATATAACACGTCTCTAACAAGTTAATATACAGATTGCAGGTGGGAGTTTCCAGTTTCAAAGCTAGTTTTGTCATTGAGTGGCATGTCCATTACATCCATTTGCAACACACCTAATTTTAGGCACTTAGTGGAGAGGCTTAAGTTAGAAACCTAGTCATTCTAAACTCTCTCTACAGGCTATGGAAAGAGATAGCGACAGGCGGCTGACTAGATTCTACCACAGCTGAATTACAGTGAATGCCTGCTCAAGTAATTCAGACTGAAGCTACCTGGATATTAGCAGTTCAAATGTTTGAATAACATTTGGAACAAACAAATTCCATCTAATCATTAAACAAGCTGTATACTTCTCTGCCCTAATTCAGATCTTCTCATTAGCTGTTTCTGTGAAAAGCAACTCGGTCGCCTTATAATCATCATTCCTTCTGTAGTTAGAATCTTTTTAAAGAGATAATTTTTCCTCCTTCCGCCTCCTATTTCCCCAGGTGGCAAAAAGCTGTTAAAGTATTCTCTAGGAGGCTAGCACAGAAAAGTCGGGTTTTTTATATATATATATAATTACAGGTAAGTGAGCAGCTTGTCCACCTAACAGCTTAGTATACTTTAAAAATACCCGTAATATCCAAATACTTTGAATGGTATTTAAGGTTTTTGTATTCTCACAGCTGAAACCTCTGCTCTGTCCCACATGCTATTTAGTAAGAGGGAGCCTGGGAAGGTATCGTCACTTACCTATTTTACTCTGAAAAGCAAAATCCCTGACAAAGAACTTGTTGACAGCTACAGTTAAACAATTTACAGGATGTTACAGCAAGTCTTGGAAAATGGTGATAGGAAAAATAAAGGCACTTACTGCCTCTTCCTTGTAAACCATCTACAGTTTAAAAATATGAATGCAGGAAGCTATCTAGTCAGTGTATATAATGTAACAATACATTTCCTGAGCTAAATATAATTGACTAAATAAACGCAAAAACATGGAGTGCAACTGCAAAAAACAGAACCAAGCAAATGTGGAAAAAAAACCCCACAAACCGAACAATCAAAACCAAACAAACAAAACAAAAAACCACAACAACCAAAACCCCACCAAAACAAAACACCCTATCTCCTAGGCCAAAAAACATATTCCTGAAAGTGCAGGTCTACATCTTTTATGGAAAAACATACATGTAAAAATATATATGTATGTTTTAATGAAACCATATATATATATATATATGGAAAATAGATATACATTCCATATATATTATATACACTCACTCTATATTTTTATATACATATATTCCATAAATATAAATATATATATTTTAAAGAGTTATAATTCTATGCAAAACCATATATATATAAGCTATATATATGTTTATGGAAAACACAATGTTTTATGGGAAAATATATATGTATATATAAATTCCAGAGATTGGAACTTACTGCAGATGGATCCTACATTATAAACATTTCAGAAGAGGTACTTATACTTTTCTTACGTGCATTGTGAGAGGGTAACAAATCTTTTGGAGGTGAAATAATGTATAAATGAATAAATTCATGAATAAAACTACATTTTGTGCAAGTATGTAATGGAATGGTATTTCAGTTCTCCCATTAAATCTTTTGCTGCTCACTATTCACTAGGAGGGGATTTTCTTTGTAGAATATCTCAGATAAAGATCAGAAGCAAGCAGATACACAGTTCTCTCCGTTAATTACAGTATTTCTGAGGAGCCAGGTAAGTCTAATGAACCCCATTAATTAACAATGATGCATGAACAGTAGAAGATTACAGTAATCTTTGTGTGCTTCAGAACACTTGTTTTAACCTAGCAAATCAGAGCCTCTAGATTAATTTAAAACCAAACTGGGACCGTGCTACCATTATCTTCCTTCTAATCATCATCACCATTAATATTTCAGTGATACATCTTATGGACAATAAGAAAATAATTTGAAATTTTACAGTCCAAGAAAGTCCCATAGAGCAGGAGACTTCACACAGCGCTAAACCATCCTAGAAGGATACCTGCGATGACTGGAAAGTAGTAAGTGAGTAAATACACATTCTGACCTACAGATTAGATGCTAGGAAGAAGTTCTTCATTGTGATGGTGGTGAGGCACTGGCACAGGTTGTCCAGAGAAGATATGGCTGCCCCATCCCTGGTAGTGCTCAAGGCCAGGTCAGATGGAGTTTTGAGCAACCTTTTCCAGTGGAAGGTGTCCCTGCCCATGGCAGGGGAGTTGGAACTAGATGAGCTTTCAGGTCCCTTCCAACCCAAAACAGTCCATGATTCTATTAACTGAGAAATAAACATATTCTTATTCACCCTTATGATGTGTACGTATTCTTCAGTGCACTGACAGAAATGCATGGAGGACTAGAAGAACACAAGAATTTATTCAAATTACCTATGCAACCTCAAATCATGAATCTTCTTTCAACTCTTGGGCACATGTGCTAATATGTCATGCATGCAGCAAAGCCTGCAGTTAATACTCAGAACAGGGTACAACAGAAGCAAGGAGGTGACCAGAGTATCTGCAGAAACAGAACTAAAGTGGCACTTTTCCTAATCCTAAATGGAGAAGGAGAACTGAATTCAAGGAACCTATTCTGTCCCTGGCAATTATTTGCACTGGGAAAACGCTTTCCAGTTGCTTTACAAATAACAGGACTTAAGCATGTGGTTGCATGTATGATTGCTCTAGAGCAGTCCTGTTTGAATGACTAAAGTGAATTTGCATTCCTCTCCCCCCTGATTTTTGAGCTGCAGGAAGAGGCATCCTACATAATGCTAAATTATAAATGTGGCAGATTGAGATCCAGCAATTGAATGGTAGTGCACAATGGTAGTCACAGCTATAGATCTCATTCAGAGCATCATAAATATGACAGCCAACCATCTCAAAAAACTGTGATCATGCTTAGCAGATGCTAACAACATCCATTTCATTTAGTTTTGCCTTCTGCACGGTGAAAATATTGTAATTTTGTAGGAATTACTGTCAAACTCACAGCTCTAATTACATTCTGCCATTTTAAAGTGCTTGTATATGCATTTAATGCTTCCAAAGATGTCACTGTGAATATCGAAATTCTCTGCTCATTCACAGAAGAGACACAGTATTAACAGCCAATGCAACAGCACCGTAATGTAAAGACAAATCACCATGGAAAGTAAGGTTCAAGCTATAATTTTTCCAAGTTAAAATCTGTGGCATACTTACATAATTACATTTGTAGTGTTGCAAAATACTTGGTTTCCTCCTTTTAATCTGCTTCATGCAGCAGAAAGAATTCTGATGGAGCCAAAATACTTGTTGAAGAACTGCTGATTTTAGACTGAGCTTCAGACTCTTCCCTGATGTTTTATTTTTGTCATCATAAAAGTGGAGCAAACAAAATGATAAAAATAATTTGATCCTCTTACTGTATCACTTCCCCTGTTCTCTGAAGTGTCAGAGTAGAGTACGTTCAGCACTAGGTTACTGGACTGTACAATCCATATTGCAATATATATACCGTAATCTATGGAGAAAAAAAATCATCTTCAGCAAGAACATTCTTATCCTGTGACAAGTTGAAACTGGAGCACACAAAGCATTCCATACTGTTAAAACAGTATGCCTTCAACAAGCATAGTTGTAGCTATAAAAGCTCAATCAGATGACTTTATTAAAAAAAAAGCAACCTATTTAAACATATTTAAAGCCTCACTATCTAGCTCATCTCCTGGAAACACCACAAACCCCACAAGTGATAAAGCACTCTGAAACTGGGCAAAGTGATGTTTTATGGTAATAATTAGAAATATGTGCTTTGGAAAATTTGGGTAAACTGTGGATTTGCTTAAGCATCTCTATCAGTCTTCAGTGGATTAGTGAGGAGAGTTGCTACTACTTAATATCCTTCAGGAAGTTCTTTTCCCTTTCACACTCCACCTGATCTCCAGAAAGGAACTGACTGCATTGACAAACCAACTCTACAAAGATCTTAAATCACCGTATTCCTGATTCCCACATCCAGTCCAAGAGGTCTATTCCAATTTTACTTTTTGAGAAAGTACAATATTAAACATCCTGAAAGTTGATTTTTTTCACTCTTTCAGATATTAGGGCGAGAGCTTAAATAAGGGGATACAGCACCAAATTAAGTAAAGGCTGTCATTAGTTGATACTAATTTATTGTAATTTACCTTGGTTATGTACAGAGCATATAAATGAGAGCACATGTTCAACTAACAGATGATACATTACAGGACTGTTTGCTTTAATTTTTCAACAATCATATAGAGCATTTTTTATAGCAAATTTATTTTAGTATTATTCCATTCCAAAATTCTTCACTCAAATCTTTTTTTCCCCTTGTGGCTCCATCTGCTGATTGGAAAATTGTTACAAGGTACCATGGTAACGCTTGCTATGCTACAAGACATACTGAAGAAAGTTTTCAGACTCCTCAGCATCACTAAGCCACACAAAAATGCACAATAATGTCAGAGTAAGACTCCAGAGATACTATTTTAGGAGATTTCATAGATTTATTATTTATATATATTTTACATAAAAAAAAAAGTAATACACAGGTTGTGGGAAAAGTGTCTGCCCATAATGAAAAGCAATTTGGTATTTTACAGATGCAAAACATTTTGCTGTTTAAAATACACTTCAGTGCTCTCAAAGTATGACCTGGCAATCTTGAAGCCTAAACTTCACTGCTCAGCATGCAACTACTGACATAAATGATTAACGCCATTAAAAGCCAAGTAATAAGCATAAGGATTAGCTTTGAGGGACAACAGGTTAATCTCTTCTCCAGCCACTAGAAGATTCTTTTACAAGAAAATTCAGAGCATATACTAATTTTATCTTTATGAAAGTCTGCATCAGTCACCAAAGATAGATACACTACCTACAAAGCTATTCTAAACTTAAACTGCTCTTGTGTGCTCAAAATCAAGCTAGCTCTAGTTTCACTGGGGGCTCCCTTCAATCAGCATAGAGCTTAGCTGATAGAAAGCAGAAGAAAAGAGAGCATGATCAAGCTACAGCATTCATTCCGTGCAACCATCTATCTCACAAAAAAAAAACAAAACACACATCTAGATCCACACTGTGCTCGAGCAGTTCTGCCAACTGGAACCCATGGAGAAAGAACTCCATTTCCTGCTTTCAAGCTGGATAACAAGTCAGAGTTTACCCTTTACTATTTAATATTTTTTTTTCTGTTGCAAACCCACCCAACATACGATAGCAATAATGGTTCAGTGTCATCTGAATTTTTCCAGAGGATGGTGACTCAGATACGTTTTGCCATTATGCATGCATACAAAATGGGAGACCTGAAAATGCAAGGTCTTTGAAATCCATTTCTTCTGACATGAAATGAAATGTTTTCTATCTGTCAAGGCCCAAACTCTAAGTAGAATAGAGTCTACCCAGAGCATGTGTTTTTTGTAAGCAGTTCTGTAATGCTGAACCAAAAAAACCTGTGACTTAATGTCAGGCAACAATTAGTTTACCTGGTACCTGGAAATACACCCTCCTTACTCAGAGTTTTGTTTCTTGTACTTTTTCAGAACAGATTTTTAAGTCAAAAATCCAAGTACATTCTCAAAGTTCAATGTATTTTATGGCTTTTTTAAACATTACTGTTCTAAATTTATATCTTTATCATGCAGCAGTTGCAAACCAAGAGCAGTGTATTTATCCCATTTCTTTCTAAAGACAGCTGTATGATTTGATACTAAAGCTTTATTGGAGAAAACTAGCTATGGTCTTAACATAGAACACTCTGTCATGCAAGTTACCTAAGGAGGAGGTTGAAAGATGACTTTCTAACGCTGTTTGGATGAGCACTGCAACTTTGTCTCGCAGGTTACACTTCAGTAAAGACACGCCTGCAAGCCTTTTCCACCAGCCACTGCTGTTTCCCAGAAAATAAAAGTTGTGCCACATTTGGCCAGTCCTTGGTCTGTGCAGTATAGGGGATGGAGAGCTCAGGATGCATTCTGGCAGGCACCTCCCACAGGCATAGACCTATGTACAGTGCCACAGAGCATTTCATTAATATGAATTAAGCTTACACATGTTCTCTCCTCTGCCTACTGCACTGCAGTGGTTACTTTATCAAATACCCTATTATAAAATACCCTATATGTAAAGAAAAGAATTAACAGTATTCTCACATTGCAAAGAATTAAGCTACTGCTTTTCATACCTTTTACTGTATCACCTAAGATTAAAATCAGCATGGCCAGCAGTAAGTTTAGGGAACTTCATAATAAAAAAAATTAAGAGACAAAATCCTGCTAGCTCTCTCTGTAAGGTGGCACATAGTATTGATGGGGTTTGAATTTATAGTAAAAGTCAAAAAAGCAGGTATTACAGACATGAAAGTTTTTAAGATACAGCTGAAAAATTTTAGTGCCAGGAAAAGCAAGGACCATCAGCTCCCTAAAGGAAAACTGTGAGGATGGAGGCACAGACCCAGAAGTAGAGTGCAAGCTGGATCGTTTATTGAAAAGATTACACAATATTTATATGCTTCTAAGCAATTAGCAAAGCACATCTGTGTTTGCCTTGCGGTTACATCAGGTGAAAGGTCTATCTGATTTTCTTATCGACATCCTCTTTCCAGTTCTGACATCCTTGTTCCTTGCCAGTTCCAACATCTTCCAAGTACCAGTCAGGGACAGGTCACTCTTAATTGCCTACTACAGTTTCTCCTTCCCATGGTCACTCTTAATTGCCAGCTTTGATACATTCCAACCCCCACAATTCCCCCTTCTTGTTTTTGCAATGCAGTATACACGTCTTTCAAAAGCTTGGGATAACATTCGCTGCATACATTGTATTAAGCAAGGTAGAATGCATACAATGGCAAAGAAAGCAAGCAAAATGATCACTCCTCCCTCAACCAAAGTTAATAGCCACCCAGTTATGCCCCAATCAGAGAAGAGTGATGATAACCAATCTTTATCATCCTCCCTTAACTTCATTACACTGTCTTTTAATTTATGGATGCTTTCATGTATGGATTCTGAATGGTCTGACAAATTCATACAACACATTCCTTCCAAAATTTCACACCCATGTCCATGTGCTAAGAGGAGAAAATGGATTGCTGCTCTATTTTGCAAAGTCGCATGTCTTATAGAGTCAACATCAGTGAGCAACGCAGAGAGAGTGGATGCTGTAACATTAGTTTGTTTACCAAGCCAACATCCTAACTTATTCAAGTTGCCAAAGCTTGAGTGCTAGCTACTCCGGGAGCTAAAAATGAAGCAGCTATTGTTTCACCTGGGTTCCAGAAATTTACTTTGTCATCGCAGCTCGGTTGAAAAGTGTGCTTTGACCTTTGAGAACGCAATCCTCGCTTATTTATTATCATAGTGTTAGTAGGGATAAACATGCCTAAGGTCCCTACTGCACACGGGCCATCCTTTATATGGGACAGCACCCTTTGCCAGCCCTGATCTTGTGGCAACTGAGGCAGGGACTCTGTTTCCGACTACAAACAAAATCCCTTATTGAGTGAGCTTACAGGTTTTTATAGTATTCTGCTTAGCGGTTAGTTCTTTCGGTACTCTTCCATCACAAAACAATTTTATTGATCACGCACTCTTTCAGCCAATCACATTACTGTCCACACACCTTTGCTTGAGTAATTATTTCTAAACATAGCTCTCTGCTATCACTACTCATTACAATCTCACTTCCACTTCCCCTTGACTACATATTCTTTATCTTGTCTTAAGCATCCTCCTGTTTCCAAATTTACAGTCCTTAGAAATTATCTTGATGCTTTTTCTTCGGTTCCACCCAATGTTCTTTCTCCAGTTCTTCCCGACTTGTCCCGTTCAGTTCTCCCAAGGTTTGTGGCTGATAAGAGTCCAGCTGTCCAGGCTCTCGTCCAGGTCTGCTAGCGCAGCTTCTTGTGCAGCATTCCCCCCATCTCCCCCTTCTTTATAAACTAACAAAACATCGTTAATAGATTTAGTGAACAAACGATTTATACAAGCAATTAAACAAGGAAGTTTGATTAAAATACACAGAGATTTTTACACAGGTTAATGCGATGTTAATAATGTTTTTCAAGCATGCACTGATGCCCTATTCTGACAGCAAACTTTCTAGCCAATTCCAGCTACTCTCCACTCACAACATCTGAACTCCATCCTTTAGGTTTTGAATTGCGTCATGGACAGACTCAGAATGATTAGGCAGGTTCACGTAACACATTCTATCAAAGTCTTTACAACCGTGTCCTTGAGCTAATAGCAAAAAAATCTATGGCAGCTCTATTTTGAAGGGTAGCGTGTTTGACTGAATCGTGCTCTGTTAAGAGACCATTGCTGTGGGTGAAAGACCTGCGGGGCAGAGGCTGGGTTTCTTCCCGCTTCTCACCGGGAGGAGTGGACCGCGCTCCGCCCCGCAGCGCGCATCTTGGCGGGCGCAGCGCGTACCCGCTCCTGCCGGAGCACACAGCGGCGAGGGGCGGGCGAGTATCACAGCCCTCTGCCCGCG